TTTCCATTGCCCTTATACCTTTCCGTCCGTCCATCCGTCCGTGCCGCCCGTGCCGCCCGTGCCGCTCCTCTAAACATTGTTCAATTCAATTGAAAATCCGTAAGGTAAAGTTGATTTTTCTTTTCAATATCTTCTCGTCAGACAAATTAACGCCACGCCAATTGCCAGAGAGACCTTCAGGACACTGCTCGACTCGGACTGGGAATGGATAAGGTGGCAGTGGTGAGTGGTGTTGGGATGGATTGGAAGGGTATTTATTCCGCCTGTAGGTGCTGTGTGGGAGAGCGAAAGCACAGGACAAGGACAGGCTTTCATAAATTCGCATTGATTGCGTTCAATTAAAATTCAGTTATGCTCCGACGGCGCCCCGGCAGCTACAGAGCGAATATTTTAATTAATTTTCACGCGCTCAGCACAAAATTTTCGTTGCCAAACCGAAAAGTACATTTTGTGCGTATTTATTCCCATTTTCCCGGTTGCTTCTGGTATTTTATGCGCATTTGAACAGCGCCAGCATCTGGCTGCAAAATAATGTCATGTCTGTCATTTTACCCTTTTCTTTCTGGCGCCCAGCTTTATGTCAAAAACTTTAATTATGTCGGATTCAGTTGGATCAGCAATTCCCATTCAAACCAAAGACAGGTCTGTTGTGGTTATCTAAATTCGATTTGTTAATGCAGTAATATACTTTTAGGCTTTTTCTTCCCTTTGAAACACTTTAAAACCGACTGCTGTTCCCTGTATCCACTTCAAAAGCGCATCGATTGGCTTTTAAAGCCACAATATAAACAGTTTGTCCCTCTCCTGCGAAACAACCATCGCATCTGTCTGTCTATATCTGTGGCAGCCATCAACATCATCATCCGACCTCTGCTCGTGTATATAGATACTTTGTCTAGCATTTCAATTGGCAAACATACTTGAGCTCTGGCAGCTACACGAGTTTAGTGCTGAATGAGGGCGAAAAAAGATACCGCCGCACCGTCACACGCTGCGAAAATAAACAACAACCTCATCCCAGCTCTCCTTCAGGTCTGCCCGAAAACCCGAAAGCCAAAAGCCTTTCATCTACTTCAGTGCTCAAGTGGCAACAACAGCATCACTACGATGCACAAACAAGGACAAGGAGAGTGTGATTTTCGAAAATGGCAAAAGTATGTTTTCCAAATCTGACTTTTCAAGGCCAGCGCCCCATCGGCCACCAGCCACCTACCCACACAACCACCATTCGCACCACCATGTCGCGAATGCGGCTGTCGTTGGGTGCTAGTTGCTGTGCCACAATGCAGCGCAAACTTTGACGCAATTTCAAGTCTACTTTTGGGGCCAAATTGTCGCCTGAATGACAGTTGTTGATTTTTCAAATTATTTGCCAAGGCTACACCCCTGAAATGATGATGCATTCCCATGCCCCAGCCAAGACCCAGCCCAAATCCATCTCAAGATGCCACAAAACTCTTCAAATAAACCAAACATACAAATACATATGTGCGTATATAGAGTTAGATATATATAGATATAGATGTATATTTGAATGTGTGCCCTGGCGGCAATTTAAGCTGTTGTTGCTGCTGTTTATTCAAAAACTTTGCTCTCGGCTCCATGGAAATTTATAGTTTCTGCTGGTGCCTTGGCCTGATGGTTTCATATAGCACACGACGACTAATAGGTTTTCTTTGGCCATAGACTTAGTCAAACTGTTGGCTCTTCTTGTGTTTTGTCTGTGCAAATTTACTTGGTAGCTCCATCCATTTCCAGCTGAACTTGGAGTAAGAGTAAGAGTCTGAGTCAAAGTCGGTGTCGGTGTCGGATTGGTTTGGCTTGGTTTGGGTTCTGTTTATAAATAGTTTAAATTTACATTGTGGGTTCGCTTGACGGAAAACTTTACAGACTGACGACGATGCCGACGAGAAGCCCTTTCATTTGCCCGAATCCGTTGATTCTTCTTCAAACGAATTTTTGTGCTCCATTTCGGATAATATTTGTCCGCACATTAAATGCAAATAAAAGATATACTGTATGTATATGTGTGAGTGTGAAAACATAGGAAAACCGCACTGATCGTTAATTAAGAACTAGGAAAAAGTTGTCGTCGCTGAGCGCTAATTAAATAATCCACCAAAAGTCAAGCAATGCGCCAGAAAAAAGTTTTCCCTCCTCTATTTGCCACCGGTTTCCATCTTTTTTCCCCCCATCATTTTTGTTTCTGTTTGCTGCTAATCTATGCAAAGTTGGCCGGGCACACAAAAAACTATTATGGAATTTCATTGAAAGTTAAAGTCAAAAAGTCGCGCAGAAAAAATCCTAACGAAGGGCGCAAAAGAGAAGCAAAAGTTTCTCTCCGGTTATAACGAGTCAAAGTTTCAGGTTCTGCTGATGAACTGGACTCGACAACTGGTCTGTAGGACTGTGGGACTGGACCGGAACATGGTCACACATGTGCACCCATCCGGCAAGGCAATGCACGAGGAGGAGGATGGAGGCATCTCTGGCACCGTGGAAACCTGTCAGTTTAAGCCGCTTAGAGAAGGGCAGAGGGCTTTCTTTTTTTTTTTGATGGAATCTGCATTCGCATATTCGCACTTGTGCGTATGCGTAATATTTATGAATATTATTCTCAATTTTTGTTTACTGCTTTCGTAATCAAAAATTTACATATTTGGGCCACTAAAATTTAATTATAATGCACCCACCCACCCACAAACAGAGAGAGAGAAATAATTGTACTATCAGGGCTGCACAACCACACAAATGTTTACCCAAGTAAAACCCAAATTGAAGCACACAAAAAGAAAACTTGTTGCGGTTACTTGTGGGATTTCGGGGGTTCCCTAACAGCGCCGAGGCTGTGCAGCCCTGGCATGTCTATATGTGCTGAGAGGGAGACGCAGAGAGATAAAGTCATGAATACAAAATGTGCCGCAGCTTTTGGTTTTGCGGCTCAGTTGGCAGTTCTTTTGCCCTCCCATCCCCACGACTAGCTCTCTCACACATGGCAAAACTCATTTCATGGGTCAAGAGCTACAATCATCTGAACTATAGAAAACGACATAGAGCGGGAGGTAGGGAAGGAGAGAAACTGGGCAAAAATTGATTATGGTGGCAGCAACACTGCAATGCCCCGCCCCCACAGCATCCGCACGGCCGTGGCCGTGGCCAAGCAACTATCATCAAAATCCTATTAGTTGGATCTCCATCTCCACCGTGCCGCTGCTGTGCCCGGCTTTGTCCTTGTCCAGTTGCCTGCATTTTGTCAGCGTTTATTTGGCAAATTAATTCCCCAAAAGGTAAGCCAAACTTGCGATTTGAAACAATCAGCGACTCCCTCCCCCTCCGTACCAGGGTCCAGGCCAACCCCAGTCCAACCCCAGTCCAACCCCAGTCCAACCCCAGTCCAACCTCTCCACTCCATCCAACTTCAGAATCCTTTTGTCCTTTTTCTGTCCAGCTGCAGCTGTTGTTTGCCCCGACAGCCGACAGCCACAAGAGAGAGAGACGCAGCGACGGGCCCAGCAGCTCAGACAAAGAGGGTTCAAATGGGTTAAGGACTGTCAGACGAGCCCCTGCGAAAGGGCTGGCGACTACGCTACTGTGCAAAAAACCAAAGCAAAGGACACACACACACACAATTTGTGACAATTCCTTTTTGCGGATTAATATTTGCTCTGTCTCTGGTCCCAGGTCCCTGGGCCCTGCGCCCTGGGTCTCTCACCGGTTGCGCCTTTATTTGTCTCGCTGCCCTTTTTCCTGTTTCCTGCCTTTTCCCCACTTCATGCAAATTAACTTGGAGAAATTTTTAGGGATCTGCCGAAAGCATGGGAATATGAGAAACCCCAAAAGGCACGAGCCCCAAAGAATCTCTCCACGAGATAATTATTTGTTATGTTGTGCTCATTGTTTTAGGACTTAATTATGCTGCAGGAGCCTCATGTCCCACGGCGGATACAGCCCTTCAGCCGCTTCACTGGTCAAGGATAAGCCGAATTGGTTTTACTTTCACCCCCAGAATGAATATAATCTAAGGAACTTAAAGGTGTGTGAGTCATTCCACCTGAAAGAGAAACACACATTTAATTTGATTTTCTCTTCGCAATTCATCGATGTAGCAACTTAATTTATGAAATGAGCGCAATAAATCAGTTTCTTTGGCCAAGAGCTTCACTTAGTTGATTGCCCCTTAAAAGGCACGAGGCAATGAAAAATTGCTGACTTCTTGCAAGGAGTTGCTGCCCCCCCACCAACTGTGCCACACTTTTTGGAGGGTGGACACGACCTGACATCTATCCTGATATATGGGGGTCGCATGCATGCCAGCCAGAAGAAGAGACTTGACTTGTTTCTTGTTCGTTTGTGGGTCTCCTTGGACCTAAGACCACCGTTGATGGACAGTAATTCCCTTGGCAGAGGGGCTGCACCTGCGATCCACTCCACCGCACCGCAGCGCACAGACCAAGTACAAGCCGGTGTCCAAATGTTTGTCCGCACGATGTTGCAACAACCTCTAATCGCCAGCCAGCTAGCCAGCCAGCCAGTCGGACAGTCAGCCAAGTGTCAACACTTTTCGCTGCGTTTCCCCACATAGCGATCCGATACGAAACGAAACGATACGATCCGATGCGATGCGAGCGATCGATGACGAAATGGAAGTGGAAACTTGGAAACTGCCCGCTGCAAGTGTTCAACAACTGTTCAACTACAACTCTCTGTTCTCTTGGCTGCAAGCAGATTGGCCAACTAGCCAGCCAGTCAGCCAGCCAGCCAGCCAGCAACTGTGGACACGATGGCAATAGGATTGCGAAATATTCGCATGCCACTCAAATCAAGTTTCGTTTTCCCCCTTGAACGAAAGCCGCGCTCAAAATATGGAAATCGAAATTGGGGTTTTCATTCGGTGCAGTTTACATTTGCAGTTCGCTGAAGCTAGTCGACATTGGGCATTGGGCATTGGCAGTTCCTCTAAAATATTCACCACAAATACGCGTCTACGATGAGTGTGCACTTGCAGCGGTCTTGGATTGTGTTTGGGCTCATGGCCTTGGCCATTTCTCTAGTTCGAGGAGACGATGGGTTTCTCACAGAGCCGCGTAAGTGCAGTGTGATGGATGATTGAATGGTGAATGGGCATTGAATGATCCATGATATTAATACCCATATAAATTACCCTATAAATTTCTCACAATTGGAGATCCTGCCCCCATGTGACTAACCCACTTATGAAACGAAATCTGCCAATATGAATTAGACAAAAAAAAAATATTGCACCACTAAACCGGATCTCTGTTTCTCTGCCTTCTCTCTGTGTTTTGTTTTGTTTTTGTATTTGTTTTGCCTTACCCCCCCACAATCGCACTGAATACGATATACGAAACACGAATCAAACTGAATATCGAACTGAATCGAAACTTCTACTCGAACCGCAGCAGATTACATCAAAGAGTGTAAGATAGCCGATAAGAACTTTGTCAACTGCTCGACCCAGAGCATCCAGCAGCTCTTCGACAAGCTCAACGACGGTGAGTAGCAGTCTCAGTCCCAGTCCCAGTCTAAGGTGCCGATCCCACACCCATTCGGATACCATTCACAGGCATTCCCGGCCTCACCAGCATCAAGAGCTTCGATCCGTTCCACCTGAACCGCATCCGGATCACGCAGGGCAACAGCAACGCCATCAATCTCAAAGTGGAGCTGGCCAATGTGAAAATTGTGGGCTTCGGCCATACCCATGTCCTGGAGAGCCAGTGAGTGGTGCCAGTAACTAATAGTGGGATTCCCGATTAATCCTTTTCTCTCGCTTAATATTTTCAGGGTTTTCAAAAAGGACTACAGCTGGAAGACAACCTTCACACTGCCGGTGATGAAGCTCAAGGGCGATTACAGTCTGTTTGGACGCATTCTACTCATTCCCCTCAATGGTCGCGGACAGGTCTTCCTGGATGCGGATAACATGACGGTTACCATGCACACCAAGACGCGACTGTACTCCAAGGGCGGTTTCACCTTCTACAATGTGACCAACTGTCGCGTAGATTTCAAGATCGATGGCCTCAAGTCGTACTTCTCCAACTTGTTTAATGGCAACAAGCAATTGGGTGAGTGCGAACCACTCTCAATGTTCCATTCTCAATGGTCTATCCATTTTGATTCCTCCAGAGGACAGCACCAACAAGTTCTTCAACGACAACTGGCGCATGCTGGCCGATGCCCTCTACACAGTCATCACCCAGACCATTGAGGATATTCTGCTGGACGTGCTGAAGAAGATATTCCATTACATTCCAGCCAACTTCTTTGTCAGCGATATTCCAACGCCCGAGCAGCTCTATGGAAAGGCCAAGCCGAAGCCCAAATGAGGAAATAAGTCACAGCCACTGGGATCTGGTATCTGGGAGCGGAAATGGGTATGGGGAATGGGAAAATCGGGAAAGGTAAATCTTTAGTCCAGTCAATAATAAAGTGTGCGACAAAAAAGAGCTCGAGCAACCCTTTTACGTGCCAGCCATCAGGGATAGACAGACACACGCATGGAGCAGAGACAAAAAGGTTTCCTGCTGCCTCCTCAAGGCATTAGTGTCCCTCAACTGTTGCCTTAGTTGTCGTACGATGGCGGACAGCATAGTAGTCGCAGACTAATGGCGGCACCTTAGTCAGACATTGTCCGGCCAAGTCCGGTCAAATATATCAGGATGGACGTCACAACCCGAGCAGACATTCAGCAAATGCTAGTCGGTGCATCGCCTGCAAACTGCAAACTGAAAATAGAGCCATAATCATGGGATCCCCATGCCAGGACTCGTACGCGCGCTGAGGGTAACCGCACATATGCCAAAGTCAAAACCGGAACCAGAAACGCGACCAGAAATAAAGGCGGAGCCGCGTGTTCAAATTAATTGCCGCAAACAGACCCCAGACCCCAAATTAATTTACATTTTTTATATGCAGATTTTCGTTTCCTTTTTTTGTTGTATGCCCGCTACTGGGTACTCCAGTAAAAGGGTATATGGGTTTCGTGTATGCCAAACACAAAAGGCTATTTATTCTGGATACAGCAGGCAATAGTCGAGCCTATGTCTGGAAAATGGAGACTAAAAGTTGTAGAAAATAATGAAAGCCAGCCAATCTCATTAACGGAATTTTTACATCTTTCCAAATTTAATTAAGACAGAATTTTGCTGGTATCCTTTAGTCCGAATATCCTGTAGGGCTCACATACTTTTTTGGTTTGAGGCCTCATTGGCTTTTTGAAGCCTGCCAATAATTTGTTGCAGCTGCTGTTGTTGTTGTTTCTGCTGCTGTTGCTGCTGTTGCTGTTGCAGATGCCACAATTAAAACGTTTGGCGCAGCGGCCCAACCATTACAAATGCCAAACAATTAGTTTAAATTTAATGCGCAATGCGTTTTCGGCCTTTTAGTTGCAACATTCTGCGGTTTGCGGTGCCCCCTTTTTGCTGCCTGCGCCCTCCAGTGTGTTGGGCGCCTTTTTTTCTCGCAAGCCTGGCCAACAGTCAAAGCGACAAATCTCGTGCGTGATTGCAATAAATTCGCTGAGTTCTGGGCCAAAAGGCAGCCCCGAAAATGCAGTCGGAACACACAAGGTAAACAGACAATAGTACGAGCTGAAGCGAAGAGCCAGAGCAGAGGATCCCCAGCAGACAATGGCGGAGCAGGAAAAACCAAAAGACAAACACGAAAGGAAAAACTATCTCCGGAGGGGTGGGCAGGAGCAGGGCACTGCGGAAACAGTCGCCGAAAGTATTTCAATATTCCCAGCCAATGTTGTTCAATATTTGCTGTGCCTGTGCCTGAGCCCCATTCAGTGCCACACATACCACACTCGACGAGGCCCAACGGGTGCTCTGTGATGGCTCAGTTTCGGCCTAAAAATGTGCTGTAACTTTTTGAAGCTCCCGCCCCAAAAGCACGCCTTTAATTTACACATATTTGTAGAATGTTTTTCGAACTTATTTTTACATTTTTTAGATTTGCCAACGGCTTGGGATTGCCCATGCGCATAGATTTAAATCATATTTGTATCGTTTTCTATACCAATATTTTTTCGCCTCTCAACGAGAATGAGTTACCATTACCATTTCCCTGATTTAAGGCTGCCTCGGTTGTTTTAGAACCCACTACTTTTATCTCATTTGTTGAGTTAACCAACATCCCTTGAGGTTTATGCCGGTGAAAAAGTTCATCAACAATGTTAAAATGCGACACGAACACTGCCCAAACATCGTTCCTAGCGACCGGCCGCACTTGACTAATGGCCCAATTAGATGCCATAAATTAAATATTTAATTATAATGTCCACTGCCGTTGGCCAATTAATTAATGCATAATTTCAAATTAAATGCTGTCACTGCACAAGGGTTAATTCAGCAGCATCGACAGCATCGACAGCATCGAGGGCATCCTGCACAAATGTGGCAAAAATGTGCTACACTGGAGTGCATGGAGTGCATGAACTTTAAAGCCTGAATAATACGAATTTATGGCCAAATAATTGCAATCTCATTAGGACACTCGGCCGGCAAACCGAAACACGGACATGACACGGACACCAGCGCGCCACGGTGTTCGAGCGGGCCAATTTGCCGTGTGTTCAAATAAATATTCGCATTTTGTGAAATATTTAACAATAATTGAGCGTAAAATAATCGCCCAGTCCCGCCCTCGATGGAGATAAAGCCCTGCGCCGGTTCCGGCTGTGATACTACGCTTCCAGCATACATATTCAACGACACGAATTCCGAGTACGGCTCCCCAATGGCCGGAGTGCGTTAATTGCAGTTGCCGTTGCACAGGACACGGATTGCGGCGACAGCGACAATTGTAATTAAATAGACACCACAAATGCACCCCCCCAAGGACGCAAACAGCTGTGGGGAATGTGGAGCCATGGCATCTGTGGAGCGTTTAATGGAAGTTCTCAGATAAAGATATTATTTCAGTAGTTTTTTGTTAGAATAGATATAATATGAAATATATTCGATAAACGGGAAGTTAGGTGGTCCAATAATAGAACCCGTTTTTATCCAAATTCGTCCATCAGTCAGAGTCAAACTCGAATCCAATATGGTAATTAAATCAAACTTATCACCTTTGATAATAAATATCAATTTATTTTGCTTTTTTTAATTTGTGCAATATTTTTTATTAATATTTATATATTTGTTTTTTAGTGCCCAACGACACACTAGAAATTTGTTGATCTTCTATTAAAAAAATCTGCCAGATTTATTTTTAGAATGGATCTTATATATTCCTAAATATTTTATTCACTATATTTTCAACCACTTTCCATCGCATTCCACCCACTGTACCTTCATGCTGGTCATTTATTGGAAATTATTGAGTTGTTGGCATTAATTTTAGCGCACACATAGGTGGAAAATAGTAGAAGCCCAACGCCCATTGGTTTGCGGTTCGCTGGCAATTTTCGAGCGTTTAATGAGCTCGTCCACGTTAATGGGAATCTCGTAAAAATAAACAACATTTCGGTTCAAACCGTTGGCCAGGCGGCCCCAGAGCCATTACGCCGAATTGTTGGTCATTGTCATTGGATGAATTGGGCTTAACACCACACTGCCAAAACCCCCCTCATCAATATTCAGCCAGTTTTCCGGCTTATTTGCGCAAATTTTGTTGACACACACAGACACAGAGATCTGCCCCAATCGCGAAGGGAACAAACAATCAGGGAATGGCAGGAGCTTAGCAGACTTCCGCAGGAGCAGGAGGCAGCCGGAGGCAGTCGCACCGCTTTACAAGATTTTATTTACACCTTCTGCGAAAATGTTTACACTTCAACAGACAGTGGCAATAAGCGAGGAGTCCGCCGCTCCTGGTCCTCCTTCAGCCTGAAATGAGCAATATGTAAACCTCCAGGATGCCAAAGGCAGAGCCCCTAACAATTGAAAGTGGATTTCCCACCTGGAAAAAAATTACGCAAACGGCAAGGAGCCACCAGCGGCACAAACGCTGGAATAAAAAGAAGACCCTTAAAAAATACGAAAAATGCCAACGGGACCTGCATAATGCGAGGAGATATAAGTGTAAGGGCGAACTAGAACTAGGGAGAGGGCTAGGACTGCCACTGAGACTGGCCCAGAGGAGGGGGAGGAGGGCCTTGTCATAGCGTAAATTTATGTAAAAATTTGTAGCAATTGCAATAAGTTGGTCGACGGCGATGCCGTCGCCGGCGGCAGTCAGATGGGGAAATTTGCGAGCAGGAACAAATAAATTCTTTCGATTCTAGTCAGTTTTTTGTTAAGCGCACATTTTAAGTGCGGATAGAGAAGGCTGCCTGTGGCCCCCAGGGGAACGCCCTAACTCTGGGATTCAATCATCTTATACGAGTATAAAAGACAGAGTATAACTTTATTTTAAATGCATTAAAACTTTAGCAAAAACTGATTACCAAATGCCTGCAACGATTATTTGCAAAGCTCTTCATGATTTTTGAGCCCAGAGCGCCCAGAGCGCCCAGAGCCCCGGACCAAAGCCAATAATGTACAAGACAAAGATGCCAAAAGACTGTGAAAATTAACTCTCAGCTGGCAAAATGCTTCAAAGTGCAAATATTGGGCTCGGTCTGGGTCTAGGGCCCTTTGACTGCCTTCATACTCCACTTTGGGCTAAAAGAAACGAATGCCAGCAAACGAGCTTCGAATATAGAGATACCCTGATGCGAAAGCTGTTGATTTGCTTTAGAAAGTTCTCATAAGCGAATGGACACATTCATTTTAAATGGACAGTCACGTGTGAACGTGGAATGTAGCATTCCATTCGGATGAATGAAACTGAGGTTTTAGAACCCCGCAAAAAGGCATCCTATGTCCCGTTGCATCTGTTAGAAATCATTGGACTGCCCGAAAGGGTATGAAAAGACTGAGGATTTCATCAGATTTACAGTTGGAGGAAAACTGTTACTCGCTGTCGTTGACTGTTATTTTTGGCAATCTGTTTGTTTGCCGATTGTCTGTCTGTCAGTTATGCTGCTTATCCCCAGTCACAGTTACAGTCCTAGTCCCAGTCCCAGTCCCTTGTCCTCGGCCTGATTTAATAAGAATTCATTTCTTTTGGCTGGGCCCGCCGTCATGTCTTCCCTTTTTCTCGTTGCAATTAACATAATTTTTGTAAGTGGATTTTCATAGTTGAACAAACTTCGGCTCGCGGCATTTGCGAAAACTTTAAATTTCAATTCACTCAAGCTCGCGAAAATAAAACGAGAGAAACTTTTGGCAAAGCCATTGAACCCGACAATCAAAACTTGAATCCATCCATGCGCTATAGCGGACTGGAGAGACTTCAAATATAGTTTAACACCCTTTCGCCTTTCTTTTTGCCCCGAGGCCCCGGGCCACCATTTGCATTCCAATTCAAGCTTGATTTCGACTGCAGATCGGAGACGGAACGAATGCAAATTCAGGGGCCACAGATTGCTAACCCAAAGAACCGCCGCTTTCGGGGTTAAGGTCTTGCCCGACTCTTGAATTGAAATGTAGAAGTTGTCGCCGCCGTCGCGGATAATGTGAGAGAGTTTTTGGCGGATCGCGTAGAGCTGTGATATAATCTAGGGGCAGTTCAACGAACTGCCACCACCCGCCCAATCATAACTGGGTGTGGTCTATCATCATAACTGGGCGGATTCTTTGGTCAATCCCACAGTCATACTACATCATATTTTCAATACAAAAATCACGCGTCGCCCTTTCCGTTTGCTGGCTCATCAATATTCTTTCTCCTCCTCCGCCTTCTCCCTTTTGGATTGATTTGCATATCTAACCCAATTTCTATCGAGTTGAGTCGCCGCGTCGAGTTTTTCTTCAAGCTCCACTCTTCGGACGCTTCGTACTCGCCCCCGCGTTTCGTTTTATTATCACACATAATTTATTTGCTGGTTATTCCAGCAGCAGAACTATTTAAATGCAATTTGGAAACGGATTTTGCACGAGTCAGTTGGGTTGTTGGGTCTGGGAATAGAATCAAAATCGGGTTTTATTTGAGCACCTGATTGGAATCGAAGAGTGTGGATCGTGGATACTCCATCCACAATCAATCTGCGACAATGTGACAATAATAATTGATAACCTTATAGTAGCCGAATAATCGAAAGAAAAAAAAGCGACAAATCGATTGCATTTCATTTACAGAAACAGGCAACCGAAACAGGCAACAGGCAGTGGAATAAATTCAATAAAAGTCACTCAAATGTCGATAATTGAATGCGTATACAAGAGAAGTAACCGAAACAGAACGGAACGGAACGTAGCGCGTACAGAAATTAACATTTTTATATAACAAATTTAATTTGGACAATTCAAGCGAAACGATAATTGCATAAATTTCATTTGCAGTCAGCCCCCATAAACGGAAGGACACTGCGGTGTGGGTAGGTGTGGGTCAAGCGGGGTAACTTTTTGGCCAAACGTGAATCGCTTTTTATAGGCCTTCAAATGGGTGGAGTGTGAGGGTATGGGGTATGAGGGTGTGGAATCTTCCATATCCATTATTCAAAGTAACACTCTGACTTGGAACTGCTGAAGCAATTACGATCAGAGCGGCTCCAAAATGATATAGGGGCAGCGCTATACATATATGGATGGATGGGGAGAGGAAGAGAACGCTCCTCAAAGGCGCCGCTACTCTCTAACTTATTGCACTTTTCTACGCGAGATTTATTGCCCTCGCAACGAGGACGGGCCTTAGATATATAGTGTGGGTAAAAATACAAGTATTTGGGATTTTTTGTTCGCTGTTCGCAGTTCGCAGTTCGAGTGACTCATGGAACACTTTTTAGTGCTGCTGTCAACGACACGACTCTCAAACTCTGCAACTGGAACTGGAACGATGTGCAGTGCATCCTTAATTACAGGCGAGAATGGGGAGACAAAGCAGCAGGGATTCCCAGGGACTCACTAGGACTGTGCTGCTCTGGGGAAATTTTAAATATTTTCTAGTCTTTTTTATTGTTGTTGATAAAGTTTTTCTGCCAAGTTCCGTAGGCCGTGGCTACGTGTGCTGCTTATGCAATTCAAGATCTACTTATGAATATGAGAACTGAATATTGCCAGCTATCATTCAGCCCAGATATCTGTCCAATCAGCTCTCTCTCTCTCCCTTCCGCTGTCTAACATGTGTGTGCATGTTCCTCAGGGGCTCCACTTCAGCAGTTCCCACCTACCTACCTACCTACCTACCTTGGTACCTATCTCTAAATCATTGTCGTCTGTTGCTCATCAGGCACACCCATTCTCCTTGCACTTCTGCTCCTCCTCCACCCACCATCTCTGGTGCCATTATCATCGTCATCAATTGCGCTGCCTCCGCCGCCGGCTGCCTGCAGACAGCTTGTCACCGTCGTAGTCGTCGTCGTCGTTGGGCAAACATGAGAATTTCGCAGTCGAGCAGGCAAACACGTGACGATGGAGCCGATGGAGAAACCTCTGGGATGGGATGGTGATGCGGATGGGAATGGGAATGGGGAACAGCAGCACAAGGCGACAATGACGACGTCAATCGTGCGACAAAAGGCATTTTGCATACTAAACTACAGAGAGTCTTGGGTCTGGGACGAGTCGCTCACTCGGCTCTTTATTGGAGGAAGCTCTCTCTCTCTCTCTCTCTCTCTCTCTCTCCATCATATATAACATATCTCAGCCTAGGCTGAACCTCTTGAGATTGTCGAATCCCTTGGACTTGTCGATGCGGCCGTAGATGGTGGTCCGCGAGAGCATCTCGTTCTTGGGCCTGAGGATGAAGAGTACCAGCTTGAAATTCGCTTCGGGAAGGAAGCTGGGCAGCATCTCTTCGTCCACCTTGTAGTTGTGGAGGCTGTAGGTGCCGCTCCGGATGGGGCACTCCTTGAAAATATTGCCGTGCTTCACCAGATCGTCGTAAATGACCCGCACCAGGGGATCCCAGCTACGCTGCTTCATCATCTTGCAGAAGTTTACGGTGCGGTTGATCAGAGTCGAGAAGTTGCCCGGCTTTTCCGTCTCTAGGCCCACATTGAGCAGCAGCTGGACATCCGTGAGGTCCGCGTGTGTGGTGACGTCCACGCTGATTCTCGAGTCGCCGGAGTCATTATGCAGCTGCACTTTGAGGTCGACAATTTTGGCATTCGCCTCGAACTCGACGCTCGTGAGGATCACCTTGAAAGAACGCTGTCGGGGGGAGCGTTTAGTCGGGTGCTCATCCCCTCACACCACACCACACCACCACCGGGGAACTCACCCATGCCCCCGTCATGGGGCAAAGCACCGAGAGCAGCAGCAGCAGCAGCACTAGAGAGTAAACGCAGCTTCGGATGGGCAGTTCACGCATCTTGTTTTTAATCTATCCACTGGAACTGGCACATTGGGACTATTTTTTCAATTAGTCAGCGCTTATATATATTTGGGCTATTACACGATTAGTCAGGCCTCAATGGAGGGCAAAGCGGTGCGGGCATTAGGCAGCAGGCAAATCGATCGAATCGGAATCGGCCACGGAGAATTAAGTCAACTAAATGGAAGTGGATATGGACTTTGGAAAGGCACTCAGGCATTTACAGTCACTCAGGCATTTGCTCACTCAGTTTTCGATACGATCAGAGTCAAAATTACTTGGACACTTTGCCTGGATCTGCCTATAAATAGCGATCCAGTCACAGAGTAGAGACAGTGAAGTCCACAAGTTGGTCCAACATGTTCCTGAATACTGCAGCGGTGGTGCCAATCCTTTTGGCCCTCTGCCATGGATCCCTGGCCGAGGTGAGTTCGCAGCTATCCCAGTTCCAACAACAGTTTCTTGACCAATTTCTGCCCCCACCCAGAAAATGATGCGGCCCAAATTCAACGAGATGAAGATCTGGAGCGACGAGAAGTACGTCAGCCACAAGGTGGCTTACGACGCAAGCGATCCCCATCTCAACTTTACCATGGAGGTGCACCAGGAGCTGAAGGATGTCGACATCCACATGGAGGTGCGCATCATCAACAAGGTGGACGCGCACTACACCACCACCCTGAACACCACCCTCAATGTGTGCCGCATTATGGGCTTTGCGAACCAGTCCCCCGTCGGCCGCTTCATCCACGGCTTCATTCGTGAGTTCGGCAACATTATCGACAACTGTCCCATTCCCAAGGTGAGTCCACCCCCCATCCACGCGTGGTTTAGAGTTTTGTTGCAGAGATAGTATCCATTCCGGACACGTTCTAGGGCCGATACAAACTGCATCGCAAACTTCATCTTCACTCACATCGTAATCGTCAATTACAGGGCGCGTACTTCATCAACAAGTTCTGGTGGCCCGAGGATCCAACCACCGCCATTCTGCCGGAGCTCGAGTTCGACATCGTCTGGCAGGCCCATCTGCTGGACGCCGCCAAGAAGCGCACTCTGATCATGAACGATCACTTCACTGGCGAGTTTAACGTCCAGGATGTGAATAACCTCAAGCCTGGCATATTCGCCATGCTGCCCAAGATCGCCTAAGAGCGTGCTCCCCAATGGCCATGGTCCGGGATGACCCCTGCATCCCCGGCATCGGCCACACAGCAAACTCCGGTAGTAGTAGCGTCTTATGTGTCTCAATGGTGCGAGTATTTGTGTATTTAATTGTCACTTTCATGTAGTCCGCAGCGAAAGCAAATAAAGTTGGTTGTTTACCCAAAGAGCAAGTCCCCTAAAAGTGTCCACCAATGGGGGAATGGTATCATGTGTATGGGTATGGGTATGTGGTTGTGGGGTTTTCCTCTAAAATCTGTCGATTCTCGCGCACACAACACATCCATCAGTGTCATCTTTTATTAGATTTTTCATATTTTTCGACATTTTAAATGTTCGATTCGACATTTGAGGGCGTGACACTCGTGACACTCGACATTTGCATGTTTTTGCCAGCATCCCACAAATTGAATTAAAATGGAGCGCCGGCCATTTTGAAAACAAAAGGCCCACAAAAGGTCCAAACAACACAGAATTATTATTCAATATATTCGCAATGAAATGTTTGTGACTTGTGCATCGTGTTTATTGTGATCCCGGCGTCACCGTCAGACGGTTGGCGAATTTTAAAAAACGCTTTCGGCTATTTGTCAGCTGCTGCCCAATGAAGGTGGCTCTGGGCCGTAGGCTGTGTGCTCTCGGGGTATGATTTATGCCAGTCCGTGGGCTTTGGATTTACTGAGGAAGCAATAAAGAGACAGTAACAATGCTAACGGAATGCTAACAAGTTGCCGCTGATTGCCAATCAAAATTTCAATTTCAATTACCGCGCATAATGGGCCTCGAAAGGGGAATCGATATACTCGCAGCACGAAAATCTCTCGACAAATCTGCACCCCAACAAAAAACTTTTATCAATTACCCCAAACGGGGAGGGACCACCACAAACACACAAAAAAAAGGTGCAAAAAGGTGAATTTCATTGTGCTAAGCCCTCGAAAATGCCCCGATCCACACACACCACACACAGACACACACACACACAATGCATTTGTTTTCACTTTGTTGAACTTGGTAAACTTTTTCTACAGCCAAGAAAAAGTTCAGGGGTCAAGCCAACGGCCATTTAAGCTCCATTAGACAGGCACACAAAGCTCCACGACAGTGCAGTCGTCCAGTGGTGGTCCCAGTGTAAGGAAATTCATTGTCCCACCCTCAAGTCGTTGGCCAGCTGCTAGCCACCCCCCCACCCACACCACCACCAGCAACCAAAAGGGTTCCGATTGCAGTACAGAACAGTAAATCTTGAAAAATTGCCATTCAATGCAAACATTTTGAAAACATTCATCAATAAGTTGGCTGCGACTTGGGCCCACCACCCCCCAGCAATGAACATTTCCCTAATGTGGCGTTAAGGTCCCCGTGCACCGTCAGAAAAAAATGCCCAACAAGTCGTAGCAGTAGCCCCATCCGACAGACGGATTTCTCTCGGTGAATGGACCACTTGGCAGCCTCACACATATGCCACATGCCACAGGCACGGCACGACTTGCATGCCAGCCAGCCAGCCAGCCAGCCAGTCAAATCTGTCCATTTGGCTAATAAATCCTTGAGCAGCTTATTGAGCAACGTCTGCGCATAAATATTATGGCTGCCAACTGGTCGAGGACGAGGCCAGAGTAGAGCTGCAGGAAGAGCAGCAGTACGAGGACCTATTCACTTGAATACATCCCTCCGTCTGTGCACCCTCTCCTCGGGCATTAAAGCTGCGCATTCTCTCGGCTCGCCTCGAACGTGTTAAATAAAACTCCATCCAAGATTTGTATACCCTTGTGGCAGCTGGAGCATAACTGTTTCTACCAGTGGTTTGCTTTCTTTTCTTTTTTAATATTTCTAACAATAATATGAAATAAAATAAGTGAAACTCCATTCTACGAACAATCGGAATCCCTGAAAGAGTGTCCAAAGATTTGACATTTTCATTTCTTTTCTCTTGTCTCTGGCTGCTCCATTGGAATTCTTGAGCTGACATTGGATTTCGGTTGACTGTCGTGTTGGTATGGCCACTCTGGCCTGCTGCTACGTATCCCACCTACTATTCGTACAGCTGCTGTTGTTCTTGCTGTTTTTGTTGATTTCTTAAGTCCTCTCGCTGCACTAAAAGGATATGCAAATTGTTTGAATAGCAAAGGACATGCTAAACAATTTCAGAGCCTCGAGCTGCTAGTTTGACAAACAAAAAGAAATAGAAATAGAAATAGAAAACTAAACTAAACAAAACATACTCGTCGTATATCGGCCTTGCTTGCCAGTTGGATATTTGATTCTTTTTTTTGTTCTTTGTCTGGTCAGAGGAGTTTTCTTTTGGTCATTGCATGCCATTCGTTGTTGCGCATTAAGTTGTAGCTACAAGGATACAGGACATTCAGGACATTCAGGACATTCAGGACATTCACATATCCCCTCGGCCGCAGAGGAAATGTTTTATTTCGTTGTATTTCACACTCCCTGGATATAAATCACAGAGCCTCATGTTATTCGGCAGCGCAGCCCATTCGGAATCCCCACTCCCAGACACTGACTGCCATCGTCTCCTCCTCGGTTGCTGCTGCTGCTGCTGTCGGTTTATTGAATTAGTTGATTATGGGCCAGGGACAGAGACAGAGACAGGAACAGGGCGAGGACATTTTGCAGCAATAAATCTCCTGTTTTCCAGGCTTACTCAACACGGTTCCAATCTCATTTAAATCTCTAAACAAGGCCAATTCCGTGTTGCGGTGGAATGGTACAGTGCTCTGCCTCTTGGGCCCTTGGCTGCTCTGCTCTGCTCCGCTCTGTTTTGCTCTCTGTGTGCTGCTCAGGTAACTGGAACATCGTTTTAAGCCCGGAACAAGTTTCAAAAGTTAACCTCACAGAGGCTAAGTTGCTCTCTGATGTCTGTGTCTGCTGTTTATTTTCAATTACGGATTAATAACTGTCTCTGCGAGCAGGGAGTTCTTTTCCAAGCCAGCTCCAAAGTTAAACAGTATTTACCCGGCTTCCAGGGGTTTACTTTATCAGTTTAAGGAGCAATCAAGCTTGAAAAGTAGTCAAACTTCACAAAGTAAGAGGCTCAATGTGAAGATACTCGTACACTATGCTCCTTTTTTTTGTATTTAGAGTCAGTATTGATGGCAGATTGCAATGGTCTGCAAGGAAATATGACAACAATCGGGTATAGACGTCTCTCCTTTTCTCAGTATTTGATTGCTTGAGGCGGCATTCCCCTTTACTGGTTACTGGTTCTCCTTCTCCTCAGTGGCTGCCCAGTCGGCGGACAAAGTTTCGTGAAATGCAATTTTGTAGCAGGCAAATCTGATCTGAAATCAGTTTCATGGGGCGGCGGTGCCACGTGTGCTCTCTGTGTGTGGCTGTGGCTGTGGCTGTGGAGCTGAGCAATTAACGAACACAAAGCCATCAATTTGCAATAGAATACTGTGGTAACTGTGCCTCTGACTAAATCCCTTAACCCTAATCTTGAATCAATTTGCAATGCCACGAGTCCGCCCTCCCTTCGTTCTATTCGGCGAACCCTGCTCCACCAACTAGCTATTCATATCCACTTTTTCTTCGATTGCCAACACACAATGGGGAAATGCGAAATCATTTTCCCTTTTTCCATTTTCCATGTTATTGTTGGATTTCAGCGGGCACCAGGGGAAGCACGAGGACAGGCACGAGCAAGATGATGAAGTGCCGTCGCCAAACCGCATCTCTTATACATTTATTCACACAGCATTTTTATACATACATATCGCAGATACTCGCACAAGTATCTGTGCTGGAAGGTCTGCTCCTCGCTGCCTCTCCCCCTCGGCAGACGGCAGGCAGCTGCATATTTATGCACAGTTCAAAGATCAAAATGAATATTTTATTTGATTTGATTCCTGGCTGCGGCTCACTGGCTCACTGCCTCTCTTGGCTCTTGGCTACACGGAAAGCATTTTTAAGCGCTCAATCCCAATCCCGGGCATAATAAACTCCTGGGAGAGGGCCAATTGTCTGCCGGCTCAGGATTGACGATTTGAGGGGATGGATTCGCGCCCGCCCCCACATTTGTGCTCCCGACTGATTGAATACGAACTATGTAAATGTGCGTGGGGGCACGCCGCAATGGAGATGTGTTTAAGCGCTGATAAAGTGCCCCAAAGAGCCTGAGCTGGCGAGGCTTATAGGATGATGTTGGCGGAAAGAACACAAGGACCCCACAGCACAAATTTCTACAGCGGACATGGCTTAAGGGAAACTAGTTTTTAAAGGCATAAACTTTATTTATTTATTCACCTCGTCCCCATCGCTGGAAGAGATCGACACCTCATGCCATGCCTAGCCGCGGAGCTGGTTGATCAGTCTACGCTGCCTCTCGTACAGCTGGAGCATACGGCGCCTCCTGCGCTCCTCGCGCTGCCTCCTCAGCTGACGACGACGACGAATGAAGGCACGTCTGCGACGCCTGGCCGCTGCCGAGCTCGAGCCTGACGATCCCGATGATGAGGACGTTGTGGTCGTGTCCGAGGTCGATGCTGCTGTGGTGGTGGTGGTGGCGGGAGCGACTGTAGTCGCTGTAGTCGTAGTGGCCGACGCGGAAGTGGTGGTTGTAGCTGCGGTGGTGGTTGTAGTCCCGGTGGTGGTTGTAGCTACGGTGGTTGTGGAGGAGCCTGTAGCGCCACTCTCCTTGGCCAGCAGGAAGCAGCCGAGGACCGCGAGGAGCAGAACGAATGAGAAGCGCATGGTGATGTGTGCCTGATCTGGAAATCTGTGGTCGCTTTTATACCAGATCTTGCACAGAAGTGCGTGATCAAACACCATGGTTGACATTCGGAAATGTTTGCTCAGCTTCTCGATTGACATTGGTTTCGGTACATACCATTTGTAATTCTTTTTTCAGTGGCTCACCAGTGGGTTACATGTTCGATTAGTGGTTTGTTTGGGCTGAACCCATTCACGCTGAGCGACCCTAAGCGGGAAATTGCTTCAAGCAAAAGATTGTCTAAAAAATGAATATACTTTAATTCACGTCAACAAAGGGAATGTATTTACCAGATGATCAATGAATGAAGTTGCTTCATTAAATATATTATTTTATTCGCATCTAAAGAATGAGATTGATTTGAAATAAAATGAAACGTATTAAAAATAAGCATAACCATCTAGGGTTAAGCAGAGCCCATAGATTTTCAATTGGATTTAGATCTGGGCTTTGGGTGGCCCATTAAATTAAGTGAAAACTCCCATTATTGTGCCAATTTATCACAATTTTAGCCGTGTTCTTCAGGTCCCCATCTTGCTGAAAAATTAAATGACGAGAGCACATTTATATTTTATTAAATTTCAAATTTGTCAAATTTGTACTCCAAAGTATGAAACGTTTATTCTTTATTCATAGATTTTAATGAAAAAGGTCACGATTTACACCAAGTGAAGCAACCCCACACAATCAGACCGCCTCCTCCATGCTTTATGGTTTCCTTGACCTGATGCTGTTTCAACCGTTTATTTGGGCGGTGCCAGTAGTACTCTTTGTCATCAGGCTAAAAACGGATTTTTTTTCTCTCTAAAAACTCTCAGTGAAGACGATTATTTTTAGTTAAAATTATTGTTAATGTTATTATTCTCGATGTCTATAGGAACCATCCATTCAGACGAACAGAAGATCTCCTAGACTAGCGAACGATTAAGTGAATTGAATAATCAGTCAGATCCCAAATTCGATTATCCAGAGTTGGATATAAATAAGTTTACATCAGAATACATTTTCAAAATACTCGTATATTCAATTGTATGTTTTTCATATTTCATCGATGCTTAAAGATAAGTGTTTCATCAGTGGATGATTTCTGGGGAGTCGTGGATATGTCTCCTGTTCTCCCGCTTATCCTTGGAGTTGGTTGATCACGCGGCGCTGGTTCCTGACCCGGTTGCGGAGCCTCTGGGTCTGGCGCTGCCTCTGGCGCTCACGGCGCTGGCGCTGGCGGGCTAGACGACGACGTCTGCGACGCCTGGCCGCTGCTGAGTTCGAGCCAGATGATGAGGACGATGACGTTGTGGTCGTGGTCGTGTCCGATGCTACTGTGGTGGTGGTGGTGTCGGGAGCGACTGTAGTCGCTGTAGTCGTAGTGGCCGACGCGGAAGTGGTGGTTGTAGCTGCGGTGGTGGTTGTAGTCCCGGCGGTGGTTGTAGCTACGGTGGTTGTGGAAGAGCCTGTAGCGCCACTCTCCTTGGCCAGCAGGAAGCAGCCGAGGACCGCTAGCAGGAGAACGAATGAGAAGCGCATGGTGATTTCTGTGCTTGAATCGGACTCCGATCAGGGCTTTTATACAGATCTTGGGCCCCAGAAAGCCGTGTAACTATTTGGTTTCTCGCCATTGTGTAAATATTTTTGTTTGCTCCGCTTCGTATCTGTCGAACGTCAATGATGGTGGAAATTCCAAATGCCAAAGTTGGCTAAGACTTGGATAATATTGACGTTGGCTCGTGGATTATGGATCGCCCATGATCTGCTCATGGCGATATAATAATTAATCGATATTGTTTTCCGGGAAGGATTTGGTTTAAAAGGCTTAGCATTCGGAAATTTGGACAAAACACACAGCGATGCGTCTCACATTGGTTCTACTTTTAGGTTTCGTCGGTTGCCTGCTTTTCTGCCTGCAGGAAAGCAGTGCGCAGACGGGCACCTCAACCGAGTCGTCAACGGAGAGCAGCACAGACAGTACGACGGAAAATGCGGCGAGCAGCACTGCTGGTTCCGCAGTAAGTGCAACGACTGCAGGACCCGCCACCGCCGCCACCGACGCAACAACCGCCACCACCGACACAGAGTCATTAGAAACCACAGAGACGACAAGCTCGACCTCGACCTCGAGCTCGGCCACAACCTCTGCATCCGCCAGCGCGGCTGCGAGGCGGCGCAGGATCCAGGCGCGTCGTCGACGTGCGCGCTTGGCCCGTCAGCGTCGCAGGCGGCAGGCCCAGAAGCGCCGCCAAAGGCAGCGTAGGAGGCAACAGCGTCGTAACCGTCGGGGATAAGCGATGATGTGGAGCTGTCAGGTGGAAAGTGAGGCCATTATTCCAGACATTTAATTTCCGATCGACGTTTTAAAAAATTTGATTTGATTATTGAATTGAAATCTAATTGATTGAATTCCTTTTGGTACAAACAACGCAAATAAAGAACATTTCAAAAATTTAATTAGCTTCTCTATAATGAATCCCAGCGACATTTGTAGCTACAGGGATCATTGCTAAAGAATAAGAACAGATATTAATTTAATTTGATTGATTCTTGGTTAATTGATAGGCGAACAATATAGCCATGTATCACTGTGTCCATCTGTGGCAACACTTGGATGAACAAAGTTATGAGAATTTGATCCACCAAAAAATTCAGTGGAAAACTCCATGTATGTAGTATCCACAATTTTAAAGATATAGGCTTCCAAAACTGACTATTATTAATGATTTTGCTTCGCGATATTTATAACTCATATAAATAAGATAACTCTACTTATTACTTTTTGAATAAAGAATGGCCTTTAGTACTCACAGCTTTAAATTTAAATGGGATTCTAACTATATGTATCCGACTAATCGATCCGACTAATCATTGCATTCAGAATGATGCTGATTTTCAATCGACACCTAATCGACACCCTTCGTCAATAGACATGGATATGTCTTTCATGGGAGTTCAAAGTTCCACAATGCTGAGAATATTTTGGCGACTGCCTAACTGAATCGCTAACCGCTTTCTTTCTCTTTCCACAGCACATTTTTTCAAATATTTGGAAACGGTTACAATTGCTCCACCTAAGCTAACATTCAAACCACATCACTTGGCTAATAAAGAAACCAATGTCGATCTACAAAGCTGCGCAAACATTGCCGAATTCCAATATTAAAACAGTGGAACTACCTGTTAATTACAACAACTACCGCAGAGGTGTTTTGGTATAAAAGCCATCACAGATTTCCAGATAAGACACACATCACCATGCGCTTCTCATTCGTTCTGCTCCTCGCGGTCCTCGGCTGCTTCCTGCTGGCCAAGGAGAGTGGCGCTACAGGCTCTTCCACAACCACCGTAGCTACAACCACCGCCGGGACTACAACCACCACCGCAGCTACAACCACCACTTCCGCGTCGGCCACTACGACTACAGTCGCTCCCGACACCACCACCACCACAGTAGCATTGGACACGACCACGACCACAACGTCCTCATCAGCTGGTTCGTCAGGCTCGAGCGCGGCAGCGGCCAGGCGTCGCAGACGTCGTCGTCTTGCCCAACAGCGCCAGCGCCGTGAGCGCCAGAGGCAGCGCCAGAGGCAGCGCCAGACCCAGAGGCTCCGCAACCGGGTCAGGAACCAGCGCCGCGTGATCAACCAGCTCGAAGGATAAGAGGGAGGACAGGAGACACATCCACGACTCCCTAGAAATCATCGACTGATGAAACACTTATCTTTTAGCATCGATGAAATATGAAAAACAAAAATTTGAATATACGAGTATTTTGAAAATGTATTCTGATGTAACCTTATTTATATCCAACTCTGGATAATAGAGGCCCGAATATGGGATCTGACTGATTATTCCCTCATTCACTTCACAATTCCATGTCTGGTAGTCTAGGAGATCTTCTGTTCGTCTGAATGGATGGTTCCTATAGAGATGTAGAATAAGAACATGAACAATAATTGCAACAAAAAAAAAATCGTCTTCACTAAGAGATTTTAGAGACCAAAAAAATCCGTTTTTAGTCTGCTGACAAAGAGTACTACTGACACCGCCCAAATAAACGGTTGAAACAGCATCAGGTCAAGGAAACCATAAAGCATGGAGGAGGCGGTCTGATTGTGTGGGGTTGCTTCACTTGGTGTAAATCGTGACCTTTTCATTAAAATCTATGAATAAAGAATAAACGTTTCATACTTTGGAGTACAAATTTGACAAATTTGAAATTTAATAAAATATAAATGTGCTCTCGTCATTTAATTTTTCAGCAAGATGGGGACCTGAAGAACACGGCTAAAATTTTGATAGATTGGCACAATAATGGGAGTTTTCACTTAATTCAGTGGGCCACCCAAAGCCCAGATCTAAATCCAATTGAAAATCTATGGGCTCTGCTTAACCCTAGATGGTTATGCTTATTTTTAATACGTTTCATTTTATTTCAAATCAATCTCATTCTTTAGATGCGAATAAAATAATATATTTAATGAAGCAACTTCATTCATTGATCATCTGGTAAATACATTCCCTTTGTTGACGTGAATTAAAGTATATTCATTTTTCAGACAGTCTGTTGCTTGAAGCAATTTCCCGCTTAGGGTCGCTCAGCGTGAATGGGTTCAGCCCAAACAAACCACTAATCGAACATGTACCCCACTGGTGAGCCACTGAAAAAAGAACTACAAATGGTATGTACCGAAACCAATGTCGATCGAGAAGCTGAGCAAACATTTCCGAATGTCAACCATGGTGTTTGATCACGCACTTCTGTGCAAGATCTGGTATAAAAGCGACCACAGATTTCCAGATCATGCACACATCACCATGCGCTTCTCATTCGTTCTGCTCCTCGCGGTCCTCGGCTGCTTCCTGCTGGCCAAGGAGAGTGGCGCTACAGGCACCTCCACAACGACCGTAGCTACAACCACCACCGGGACTACAACCACCACCGCAGCTACAACCACCACTTCCGCGTCGGCCACTACGACTACAGCGACTACAGTCGCTCCCGCAACCACCACCACCACAGCAGCATCGACCTCGGACACGACCACAACGTCCTCATCATCTGGCTCGAACTCAGCAGCGGCCAGGCGTCGCAGACGTCGTCGTCTTGCCCGCCAGCGCCAGCGCCGTGAGCGCCAGAGGCAGCGCCAGACCCAGAGGCTCCGCAACCGGATACAGAACCAGCGCCGTGTGATCAACCAGCTCCAAGGATAAGCGGGAGGACAGGAGACATATCCACGACTCCCTAGAAATCATCGACTGATGAAACACTTATCTTTAAGCATCGATGAAATATGAAAAACAAAAAATTGAATATACGAGTATTTTGAAAATGTATTCTGATGTAACCTTATTTATATCCAACTCTGGTACTCACTAATCGTGACGAATATGGGATCTGACTGATTATTCCCTTAATCATTCGCTTCACAATTCCATGTCTGGTAGTCTAGGAGATCTTCTGTTCGTCTGAATGGATGGTTCCTATAGAGATCGAGAACATCTAGAGTAGGAGTTGGAGGGAGAAGCATGATCTCAGGTTCTATGGAAGAATAAAAAATCATCTAAAAACGTTAGATAATAGCACTGGTACACTAACATGAAATACTTGACTTTTTCCCATGAAGTGTCTTGTTCGTCTGTGGCCATATCTATTGCACGATCCAGGAAAATCTGTACGTGAAAATACATTCAAATATTAAAATCCAGTCGAAAGGAGTGAGCTTCGTGTTTCAGACAATCTGTTGCATGAAGTAATTTCCCGCTTAGAATCGCTCAGCATTAATGGGTTCAGCCCAAACAAACCACTAATCGAACATGTAACCCACTGGTGAGCCACTGAAAAAAGAATTACAAATGGTATGTACCGAAACCAATGTCAATCGAGAAGCTGAGCAAACATTTCCGAATGTCAACCATGGTGTTTGATCACGCACTTCTGTGCAAGATCTGGTATAAAAGCGACCACAGATTTCCAGATCAGGCACACATCACCATGCGCTTCTCATTCGTTCTGCTCCTCGCGGTCCTCGGCTGCTTCCTGCTGGCCAAGGAGAGTGGCGCTACAGGCTCTTCCACAACCACCGTAGCTACAACCACCGCCGGGACTACAACCACCACCGCAGCTACAACCACCACTTCCGCGTCGGCCACTACGACTACAGCGACTACAGTCGCTCCCGCCACCACCACCACCACAGCAGCATCGACCTCGGACACGACCACAACGTCCTCATCATCGGGATCGTCAGGCTCGAGCTCGGCAGCGGCCAGGCGTCGCAGACGTGCCTTCATTCGTCGTCGTCGTCAGCTGAGGAGGCAGCGCGAGGAGCGCAGGAGGCGCCGTATGCTCCAGCTGTACGAGAGGCAGCGTAGACTGATCAACCAGCTCCGCGGCTAGGAGTCCAGCGATTCCATGTCCTCAGAGCAGCAGCTAGAAGTAAAAAAAATTGCAGAATAAAATACCAAAACAAAGCAACAGCCATCACTTTCGAGCAATTTTTCGTGAAAAGCTTGGATAAGGAGGAAAAACGAAATGAAAATGTAAACGAAAGGGTTTTGCCTGGCTGCGGCTCTGCTGGAGGTATCCTTGGGGTCTGGCCCCGTTTCGAGGCGCAAATCCATCAAAGCGAAGGCTGTGGCGCATTTCTCACGCTTCGGTGGAGCTCTGCAACTCTGAAATTGGCACAAAGGCGGACAGACGGCGGGGCGGCGGGGACAGACAGGAAGTCGGCATGCCTACACCGTCTCTCCCTCTTCCTCCTTCTGCTCCGAGACTGAGGCGAAAGTTTTCGCCTGCAGCGTTGGCAAAAAAGTTTTGCCGCCGACGCCGCCGCCGCTGAGGCTGCATAAAATTTGTGTCCAAATATGATTTCTATGCTCTCGCCTCGCACTGGCACTGGCTTTAAAAGTCTATGGGAGGGACTCCCCCGATCTCGTCCTTTCACCTCCTAACTGTAGCTGATGCCTAAATGCGCCTAAATGAAATTTTTGCTAGTTGGCTCGAAACTTTTACCGCTGCACCTTTTTTGAGCCAAAAGTTTGTTTCAAGTTCTGTTTCTGTGAGCCGAGCCCTATGCCAAAGGTTCTGGGCGGGCTGTGGGCGTGGCTGGGGCAGAACTTTTATAATTATTTGATTTGGCAAATAGCAAAGGGCAAAGGACACAGGGCTAGCAAGAGGTGGGTTCGGGTTGGCTTCGATATATTTTGAGAGTTTGAAAAGATTTTTCTAGCACAAAGAATACTTACAATTTTCAGATCAAATGTGCACCGGAACACACGATATTGAAGCAGTCTTTGTCAGAGCTTCTTCCAAAGATGAAGAGACACATACTCCGCCTCCGACTGGGTGCCGATAAACATCTGTGAAGAGAGCAAATAGAAAAAAGTTATTATGTTACCAACAATAAAGAGAGTTCTCTGGGAGATCTGCAGATCTACGCTGAAATTGGTTCCAGAAGCATGGGCAGTTGGCCAGCAGCTGCTCCACATGGAAGAGGGATTATCAGATAGTAAACTCCCAACTTTTTGTACTTTAAAGAGAAATAGAACTGTACAAGCATGCTGTATAAATAAAATATGTTTGTTTTACCTGTTCTCTCAATTCGAACGAGTCTGGTGAGAATTCAACAGTAGCAGTCAGACATTTGGCAATATAAAATGTCGTATATCCAGCTGATCTTACTGCTCTTTGGGCTGGTCTTTCTCGTGTGCACCACCAGGCTGGAGGTACTCGCAGCTGGCCCACCATCGACTAGTGGCTCGGTGTTCAGTCATCGGCTTGCACGTGATTCTGCGGCGATGAGCGAAGAATCAACACAATCAATGCCACACTGGGCCAAGAGATTGATTAACGAACGGTTGATGAATGCAACGACACCGAAAGGGACTCGAAAACAGAAACAATGGGATGAGGTGGAGGCAAAGGATATCTGGAAATTTTTCTTCGCCTTCTACTTAATGTATTTAGCTGTGTTTATTTTCTGAGAACTATTTAGTTGCATTTGTAGCCTTAAAAATTGAGTAAATTACATTGTTCTTTGGGTAATGGTTCACCTGTTTAACATATTTAGAGCATTTGGGATCCCCTGGCTGTTGCTCCTACTCCAAAAGCCACTTACTATGTACATATGTATGTGGGAGTGCATGTGTTGGCCATATGCTAACTGGCCGCCCCACAACCCCCGCTCTGTAACCTCTGACTCTGAACGGAGACGATAGCTTCGCTGTTGCTTTCGTCAACTGCAACATAATTTATGACGCTTTCATTAAAAGCGACAACCGAGACACACGCCCACACACAATCACGGGGCTTGGTAACAAATGTCCAAAGGAGTTGTGCCTCAGTCCATGGAGTGGCGTGTGTCTGTGTGTGTTCGGGCCAGGCCGAAAAGACAAGCCTCGTGGGGGAACAACCGAGTTCCGTGTGCCAGACAGTTGTCAGAGCGAAGCAAAAACACATCGACCGAGAACCAGCCCCAGAACGTCGCCGACATTTCACCCCGAACGGTGTCAATTTTTTAATGTCAAGCGTTTAACTGGCATACCGTTGCACACACACACACACACACACAGGAGCCCATTCGCCCATTCTTAGCCAGAGTCCTTCCGTCGCGCTTTGACATAATTAAAGGCCATTAATCACGTGTGCTGATTCAACAACGCCCACTCTCTCTCTCTCTTTCTCTCTCTCTCGCTTTGTGAGGAGAATGGAGTGTAGTGGAGGCCAGTGATGTGGAGTGCAGGGTATTGTTGCAGGAGACCCGTGTGACCTCTCATAGGGTTAATAAAGCCACTTGAGCCTCGAGCGTCGGGTCGGGTCGGATCAGGTCGTGATGGAGATCAGGTCGGAGGCGCATTTAAATTTACCGAAAACCCAACCAAGACACGGCACTGATGCTGCTCCAGCTCCAGTTCCTCCTGCCCCTGCCACAAAATGTGTCCGACTGGTCAAATTCTTTTTTTTCTTTGTTCACATGCTCTCTCCGCTTCGCTGGTTATTCTCTTGCCCTTTTTCAGAGTTTTGTTCCATCCGGAGATTTCATCTTTTTTTTGTGCTTTTTATGCTGCAGCATTTTGGCGTCAATTAACGTTCTTTGTTGTGGCGTTACATTGGACACATTTTGGTGGAGGTGTCCAGCGCCGGAGTCAGGGCCCATGGCCATGGCCATAGCCTCGTACACGATGCACAGATACACCGCGTAGATTGGAAATGTCGCGTGGATGTGTTGCGCTTCATTGCGCCTCAGTTTGTGGTGATTCCCCATGCAGAGTATCCAACAGTTATGGGCCAGTGCGACAGTGCAATACCCTACTCCCACAAAGCACGGCACACGTTGATGATTGACTCGAGGCGCACAAGCGAAAGCTTAAAAGAGAATGCCCAAGAATTAAAAATTTAATATATGAATTTAAGGGGGTTTTTTGGTTGTTTTTGTTTTTGCTGGACTGCTCCTCCGAATATGTCAACCGAATAGTCGTATATTCAGTGAGCAGCTCCCGCCAGAAGACACAAACATAGATACTCCCGAAAAGATAGTCCCCTACATACCGACGCTGGCGGCGGTGGCGCTTATATAGACTTATAGTCTCGCATATTGACCACGAAAACCGAGGCGGGGGCGACACCTTTGCCCCGCCCATTGGGGGATTGATTTTTTAACGAGCATGGACTCTCGATGCGGCATCAATTCTTTTCGTTTTTTTTGTCTGTCGCTTTTTGTCGACCCGCTTTAATGCTGGGTGTAAAAAATTATGGAAAAACAATTTTTAATGGACTAAATTGCTGCAAAAATTGATGCCATGTGTCCGACATTAAAGGCTTAAAAGTGCATAAAATCGAGAAAAGTATTTTTGTTAAATGCATTGCATAGTGCGGTTCGTTAAGGTCCTTCTATGGATATGCCCATTGATGGCATTTACAGGCGAACAAATTTTATATGTATATGTATGTATACATAAAGCGGGTGGAAAAAATAGGTATTACTGAACAATGATTAAAGTATTCTCCTGCATGGCTGCCTCTTGATCTCCCACGCGGGTATTGCAGTTCCACGAGTCCTTCCATTGGCAGCAGCAACAGGAGCGAGCCCTGCCAAACATCAACATGACACAGAGCCCACCATAATCCCTGGGCAAAGCCAATCAAATCTTAAAATAATACACTAAGCACTCGAAAGTAGCGCATAGAGAGCAGCAGCAACAGTCCCCGAGTACTTCCTGTG